GTTGCCTTTGGTTTGAGTTACTACTAATAAAAATGGCAAGTAATAACATGCAAATCTGTGGAAACGATGGTGCCTTTTAATGACAAAGTAGACTACGCTTCAGAGGAAACATCTGTCAACAGCACAATGGTGCAAATCATCATGGATACTATTGCAGAGGACGCCAGACTAGATACTTTCAATAAGATCTCCCTGTAGCTCTGACCAAGTTGCGTAAACGAAGATAAACCAACATTTTCGCTCCTCGCTTTCTTTGCTTGTTGGGCACTTCATATTCCCTCATTAAAAAGTTGTTTATTCCTGATTTGGCAATATTTATTTCCCTCTCTAGGCTTGCGTCAGACTCCCCATTGACAACACGATTGTTTATTTTACAGATAGTTTCTATTTTACAATAAATTCGGATATATTATATATGCATATATTTGAAGGATAGACTCTTTAAAGACAAATTATTTGACAAAGAAGATATACACTTAATGACTTGCGGAGATCTTCCTGACCAGGCAAAAGTAAAGAGTCTCGTATTATCTTATGCATATCACCTAGTTCATCTTATGGCATGAACATGCAATTTTTTGGTGAAAATTTATCAAAATTTCTCGAAGTACGAACCTGTTAGACTCCCAGACTAAGTAAAATTTCGACATATTTATATGTTGAACAATTTGTGAATGAGACGATATAAAGTGGAAGTAAAATATTTTAGCTCGCTTTGGAACAGGTTTAAAAAGGGTTAAAAGGGCAAGACTTCCAACGTTAAATTTTTGTACATATTTTATTATATATTCATATATATATATATATAAACTAATGAGGCCTCTTTCAGATAAGGCTTACTACAGATCGTTAGAACCGACCACAGTCTTTTATCTCTGAAGCATGACAGTCACTAATTACCGTTTTTAATTATGTTTTCGAGACCTTATTTCGTTTGAACTTCCAGTCCCACTGGGAATGCTGATGAGGCCTGGTAGAGGTCGAAACTGCACTCCAAACATGCCTGAATGATAATTCCTTTTGGTAAGCATGGTTCTGTGAAATTAAATGGCAGTATGAGGCTTACTTGTATGATTTTAAGACAATTCAATTACCAGTTCATCATCAAATTACACTGAAACGAGTGAATCCACCTCTTACATCTTCACCATTTGTGTGACATTGTTTATAAAATAAATAAGGCGGACATTCACTTTTTGAATTACACATAGATCTTTTTATTAAGCTATCATTAAAGAGGCAAGAATGGATTCAGTTAAAGCAAGTACGAAAATATTCGGAATCCTCATAATTGTAGACTTTTGACGAATACAACCTAAAAAAAAGCTCAAAAGTTGCTATTTTAATTTAAAGTTATGTGCATTGCCTTGTCTAGATAGATAGTAAATTCGAGAATATTCCTGTCGAAATACTACTTACTAACTTTGTAAGTGACCTTGTCAGAACTGGTGATGGCTTTATTTCGTACCAGTTTTGTGCTTTCAATCAATCGCTTAAACATTGAACAAACTGTATCGAAATAACAGATGCTTTTAAAGTTTAGATATTTGAATCGCTATGGCTCTCTCCCACTCACCCTTTGTATTGACACTTATCCACAGGTACATGTAACAGGGATCAGAATAAATGATCTAGCAAGGGCAAAATCAAAACACGTCAAAATTTAACTTTATCTAAGAGATGAAAAGGCTTTTAACCCATTTATATCTCACATTCTTCTCGATCCGAACAAACTAATTTTTCAGAATAAAAATCTTCCTCCGATCTGGTTCGATGAATCTTCACCACTTTCAGTTTTGCGAACCATCTGGTACGAGGAGCACATCACCTACTCGACGAAAACATTTGTCCGACAACTTCACTGTCTTCCGATCTGCCAAGTATACGAAGTGCTCGTCATAAGTACAGCCAACCTGTCCAATTCTAGCCCACTTCCAGGCTGTCGGCTGCGGGTGTCTCTTCGGGCTCGAGGTGTGAGAACACATTTTACATATTTACGTTATAATTACAAAATGTGTTCCATTGTCTTGCTGAAATTTTTCTGTCTCCTATTTTTTTTAGGATAAATTTCCTGCTGACTCGATATTTGCCAGTGGATTGGAATAACTATTCTATTGCTTCTCTTACTTTTGAATAATTTGCAAAATAAGTTCTGAGAATGAAGCAAGAATAATGCTGTGTATGCTCTTGTATATACAAATTATCAAGTTTAGTAGTTCCATATACTCAGATTTATGCTCATCAAGTGAAATTAAATTTCTATGCATGAGGCCATGTATAAAGCAGTAATAATATATACACTTAATTTTTATAATACGATTAAACCAGGCATATATTCTGAAGAAATAGTATTCATTTCTTTGTATTTCTAGAGAAATTTAGATCTCCATTGCCTAAACTTGCAGAATCAGTTTTGTGTCATCACTTTAAAAAGTCACACAAACTATTCTATTACCGCTCTTCCTTTTGAATAATTTGGAAAATGAGTTCTGAGGATGAAGCAAGAATAGTGCTGTAATAGTTCCTTATGCTCAGATTTATGCTAATCAAGTGAAATTACATTTCTATGCATGAAGTCATGTATAAAGCAGTAATAATATATACACTTAATTTTTATAATACGATTAAACCATGCATATATTCTAAAGAAATAGTATACATTTCTTCGTATTTTCAGAGAAATTTAGATCTCCATTGCCTGAACTTGCAGAACCAGTTTTTTTCTTACCAATTTAAAAAGTCACACAAACTTGCTTTAAGTGAGAATGAAAACAAACATTGCATGGCAAATTCTACACATTCGACTTTTTAGATGAAGATTTTCCGATATGACAAATTGATCAGCAACTGTGTTCAACATTGTTATTATAATAATTTCTGCACCAGGCTATTAAGCATAAATTGCATAGCATCTATTCAAAACTGTATTTTAAGGAGGAACTAATGAAATCTGTGGAACTTTCTAGACATTTACCTTAGGCTCTTACTCGAGTTTCCACGACACTTTCGAAGCCAGAAAATAGTTAAATATTTATATTACAAGTGAATTATGCTATTGTTAGTCTGTTTAATTTATTTCTATATCCTGTTTATTAAAGTTCTACAAGTGTCGAAGCTTTATAGGCAACACAAATATATAAAAGCTTAGGCTTTTCTTTTTAGCTCCAAATTGAACCAAATGGATTTATGCTTTAAAGGCCAACAGACTGAAAATGCACTTTTTATGGAGATCTATTGGTTATTGCTTAGAATTGCCTTTGAAGTCATAATAATAAATAAATATTATTTTCATTCTTTCTGTTTAATATACATGCTCAATTTGTATGTCAATTCCCTTGGCCGTTAGTAAATCCGTCTGTAGCAAACTTAAAAGTTCAGCCAATTTCGGCTCGGAGCAGCATCTTATCCTGGAGCAGACCTCCGAGATTCGGAGACCAGGGCATTCTGGGCATGTGCATACCTGCCATCTATTTGGTCCAGCGACGTCAGCAGGGTTCGACCGAATACCAACCTTTCTTGATCATATCTGAAGAAGAATTGGCCAAAGCGGAATGGAGCAGAAGGTCACTAAGCTTGCCTCTGGCCATCGCACAGGGCAAGTTATTTTTCATCTGATACAGCCTTTTAACAGACCGATTAAGTAAAAAGATTGCTGTAAAAGAGGACATACAGAAGCCAAATCAAAGATACTTAAGGCATCAGTTCGAAAAATATTGTCGTATTTAGGAGCCAAATCTACTAATACATGTGGAGTGAATAAGCTAGACGCACTTGACATGATGATATTCGTAATTTCGAGGCAAGCAATCGCTTGCAAAACTTTTTTTAAGACTGCAATAAAACAATGAATTAGGAAAAAAGTATTTGTGAAA